TCCAGGATGTCTCTTCCACTCTCATATCACATAGGGACCCACAGAGATGTGTTTACAGGATCCTCATGGCATCCTTTGGGAATACTTATGTTTTCTTTTGTTCTTAAAGCTCTCAGCTGCCTTTTACCCCCTGTGTTTCACCTCCAGGTTCGCATATGCCAGTCCCATGTGGTGAGCTGGCAGCTCACGGGGGCTCTGGGAGCAGGTTGCTGTCGATGCAGGGCTTTGTTGTGGTCTGTGCTGAGCTGCTGCCTTTCTTTTTCCGTCCTTGTCTCTCTGCTCAGCACAAAACTGTTCCCAGCATCTCATTAACAAATGTCTGGTCATCCAGATGACTCCGCTCCTGGCCGGCGGTTGCTTAGACCTCTGAGCAGGAACACAGCTGTACTTACGGCGAAGGTAAAACAGAAACAGCCTTGTTTTCAAGGGAAACATTGCCTCGTGATGAGAATGCCTGGGTTGGGAGTCAGATGCTGTGGCTCACACTGCTGGCTTGCATACAGCTCTGGGGAAGGCGTTTAACCTCCCTGCATCTTTGTTGATCCATCTGGGAACAGTGCTGACTTATCCCACGGGAGGTTTTGGAGGATCAGCTCATTTTTTATAAAAGACATGAGGATCCTTGAGTGGGAAAGGTTGCTGAAAGGTTGCTGTGCGTGCTGAGGTGGTTGCTGTGGGTGTCTGGCTGGGTACTGGAACTGTGGGGAAGCTCCAGAGCTCCTGCTGGGGTCTGAGCTTCCGTGTCTAAGTCTGACCAAGTTCACCTGAATACTCCCAGTAGTGCCTGGCTCTTCTCTACTGTTTTTCAGAGCTTTGTACTGGTGTTTCCAATTACCTTCATACCCTTCAGTGTCTTGTGCAAGGCAGGCTTTGAGCCCCCAAACTCTGAGCCCTCCCCTCTCTGCTCTCCCGCCTCACCAGAGGCCAGATGGGGATTCACTGCCCACATCTGCTTCCTTCACCTGCCCTCATGGCTTGATGTCACTGAATCCTCTTTCCCCAAGTGTTGGGGCTTATCTTGAAAGAGGAACCTGCTCTGCTCTGCTCACTCTGAATGGGATCCAGCAACTGTTCACCCTCCCGTGCAGGCAGCACTGGTGAATGAAACCAACGAAACTGGTGAGAGCCTCACAATTATGGGTGTTCCACTTCCCAGGCCAGGATGTGAGTGCTGTCTCAGCCAGATCTCATGCTTTGTTGATCTGCTCTCCCACCCGAGACAGAGCACTTTAGGTTAGACCTGCTCCTCTTGCCTCTCTTGTGTGTTGGCACTGGGCAGTGTTTAAATGGCTGCTGCACCCTTGTGGTGCTGGGTTGCAGTTTGGAGCACTGCAAGTGTCCAGAGAACCTTTGGCACTGCAGAACCTTCCTGCCCCACCTCTGTGGGGTGGTGGAGCCTGACTCTCTGGGTCCTCTGCCTTGTGCAAGAAGCACATGGAGCAAGGAGGGAAGCCCCCCTCACCCCAATTCCCCCAGCAAGTGCTGGTTTAGGCTCCAGCAAGAAAACGGTGCTTCCTTCCCCAGCTCTGGGGAGGAGAGGCCAAGGCAAGGGATGGCCTCTTGCATAGGAATAACGTCTCTGCTTCCTCATTGCCTGCCCCAGAGCGTCCTCCTCCGGGACGTGTCAGTCACCCGGAGTGGGAAGGGGATGTGACGGGTGTTCAGCAGTGGAACAGGGTGTTCAGCAGTGGAACAGCCCGTCCCCTTGGGTGAAGAGGCCCACTGGCACAGGGAGAGAGAGCGGCTGGGACACTGACGTGCTGTTGCTACCATAGTCCTTGTGATTGACTCAGGAATTCCAAATATTTCCTCTCAGATAAAGGTGACTGGGGGGAGGCCAGAAATATCTGGACGTGTCTGGGCTAGCCTGAGATCCCAAGCACCAGGACAGAGAGATCAGGATCGGTCCTGGGAGTACTGGGCTTCAGCTCCTTCAGGTGTGGAGGAGCAGTCAAGGCCTGGGGTGGTGTGGGAACAGAGCAAGCTGCCTTTCTCTAACCTTCAACCCCCTCCCCGAACAGGCAGGGAGGATACTCCTGCCTGTTTTCCCACTCCCTCCGATCTGGGATCTGGTTCCCAGGGGACACATCTGGGATCGCGGTTGTGCAGGGGCTGAGCTATCACAGCTCATGGGGCGGTTTCCCCGAGGAAGGGCAAGGCATTCTCCTCGGGTGCTCTGCGGCCCCCAGCTGTGGATCCAGCAGCTGCTGCTCCCTTCCCAAGGGAAGGAGAAGGGCTCATGCCCCCTCCCTGCCCGTGCCGGGCTCTGGCCGTGCTCCCCTCCGTCTGTAGCACCCGATAGCTCTGCGTTCACCATGCGCCATTTATCTCTCCTCCAGCAAACACTTCCTTTTCTTAGAAGTAAGGGCTTCAAAACACACTTCTTGGAACTGCCTTTCCACAAGCTCGGCGGCACATGCCATGGAAAAAGCAGCAGGGAGAGCAGGCTGCCAGCCCTCCCTGGCTCCCTGCCTGGCCAAGGGAGGCCCTCTCCTGGTGCCTGTCCCATGGAGAGGCCAGGTGGCTGTGTGGCCCTGCCCTCCAAGGGGAGAACCATCCCTGGGGCAAGGGCCCTGGCACAGAGAGAAGGGACCCACAAGGATTGTTGAGTCCAATTCCTGTCTCTGCACAGGACAGCCCAACAATCCCACCCTGTCCCTGAGAGCATTGTCCAAATGCTCCTTGAACTCTGGTTCAGGCTTGGTGCCAGGATCACTTCCCTGGGGACCCTGTACCAGTGCCCAGCCACCCTCTGGGTGAAGAACCTTTTCTTACTGTGCAGCTTAAACCTCCCCTGGCACAGATGTTGTAAGGTGGTGGTTTTGGACAAGGCTGTGCCTTCTACCCCAGTTCCCTGTGCCCTCCATCCCTACCAGCCTGCTCTCAGTTTGCTGCTTGCCCTGCCCTGTCACAGCTCCATGCTCATCACCACCTGTCAGCAGAGAGACTTCCTGTGCCAGAATTTAAGATACCCCCTCCTTGGGTTTGAGCTTTCCTCCCATCCCTCTCCTGCAGCACGTCACTGGCTGTTCCCTGGGTGAGGGGCCAGGCAGAGGGGCTGGCAGTGGGCAGCAGCCTTCACCTTTCTCCCTGGACAGCACCTGCCTATGAGCTGCCTGTTCCTGTGGGGCTGGCACACAGTACAACACCTCCACGGATCCCATGCCAGCTGGCAGGCATGGTGGGAAGCGAGCTGCCTTCTGCCACTCCATGTATGTGGTGTGAGTCATGGGGATGATTGTCACATCCCTGAAGAGGACTCTGAGTGAGGTGGCAGCAGTATCATACCCTGGGGTGAGTTAGCAAAGTCCCAAAGTTCCTGTTGTCCCAACACCCTGCCCTTGAGTCTGTGGGTACCTCCTCATGGTCACAGGGTGTGGAAGGCAGATGGGGGAGCTTTGGTGGCAGAGGTGGATGCTGAGGTGCAGCCCATCAAGGACCGGATCCCCTGTGGTGAGGAGGCCTGTGGCCATGGAGAGGGACACAGCCTGGCTCCCTGGGAGCGAGCGTGCAGGTCTGCTGCACACACACCTTGCTGTGAAAAGCCGTGTGAGCTTGACTGAAGGTGTGTGGCAAGGTGAGGAGATACCCTACAAGCTGTGACCGTGCTGGGGCTGTTTTGTGGGAGCTGGGAAACTGGCACCATGTTCCATGAGTGACATGGGTGCCAACCATGACCTGGGCACCAAACCCCTGCAGTCCTGTGGCCGCAGGCTGTGGGCAGGTGTGGGAAGCAGCATGCAGGCAGAGCTGCCAGACCAGGAGGGCAGGCAGGGATGCTGCTCCAGTCTGCGTGGAGCCCGTGGTGAGGCGTGACATGAGCACAGCGTCAGCTGGGCTTATCTCTGCTTTCCCAGAGCAGCCGGGTTACTGGAACTGCCTTCACTTATCAGGGAACAGGGGACCTTGTTGGGAAGATGGACTCAAGGTGCGACAGCATCAAGCCCCTGCTGACGCCAGGCTGCTGGCGATCCCTGAGCCTGGAGCTCACAGCTCCCGCTCCCTCTGGCCCTGTGGCTCCTGCTCAGCCCTGATAAACCTGGGAGATCCTGGGCCATATGTTTCCCTGCTTCCTGCAGCCTGCCCAGGGACCCCTTCTGCCCTTCTGTGTGCGGCCCATGGACCCCAGCAGCTCTCCTCACAGTGGGCCAAGGTTCCTGGTGCCTGGGGCAGAAGGATGGGTTGGCAGCATGCCATGAGCGGGCTGCCTGGGCACAGACAGCCTGTTTTCAGGAGCAGTTCAACTCTGGTGGTCTCTCTCTGCCCTCCATCTCCCCCAGTCCAGGCCATGGCCACCTATCCCCAGCCCCAGGGAGAGGGGCTGTGGTTCTTCTTAAATCTTCCCAGCTCTTGCTGCTGCTGGAGATGAAGGGCTGGAGGCGGCTGGCTTGGACGAGCTGGGCCGGAGTGACTGCATTCCTGGCCAAGCCTCATGCTTGGCCTGCTCTCCTGAAGCCGTGGGAAGGCAGTAGTTTGGCGACCCAGTGTCTGCCTTTGCCACAGGGATTCATGAAATCCAGTTTGTGTTATGGAGTAACCTGTGAGGGCCAGGATGTAGGAGTACTGCTGCCGGGATGCAGCAATGTGGTGATGAAATCAGTGGTGGGATACATGGTGTGGGCTCACAACTGTGGGCATCAGCCCTGCTGCTGCTTCCCCAGGCCTCAGCCAGGGAATGGAGCCCAGTGTGTTCCTGCTGCAATGATTTCTATCCCACTTCGATGCTAATTTTAGAGAGCCAAGAGCACGTGATGCATCCCCTGCCCTGCCTGCGTGGTGTTCTCCTCACAAATCCTTTCTGGCATCCTCTTCTCTCATGACTGGTCCTGTGCTTCCCCCATTGCCCTCTGTGCATGATTCAGAGCGAGGAAGCACAAGGCATCTGTCATCTGCCCGCTCCACACCACAGCTTTCCTGCCAGCAGGAGCCCTCCAGCCTTCCTGCCCCTTCCCTCCGTGCTCCTCGCCCGCCCCTCTGCTCACTATTCCCTCTTCCCGCAGGAACGCTTTGTGGACCTCTACGGGAACGATGCTGCTGCCGAGGTGAGGAAGGGCCAGGAGACCTTCAACAAATGGCTCCTGACCGGGGCGACAGTGGCCGGAGTGCTTCTGCTGGGATCCCTGCTGAGCCGCAAGTGACCCGCCGCGAGCCCCCCGTCGCCAGGACGGCTGCGCCTTCACCGCCACATCCACTACACTCCGCTCCCAAGCACCGGCACCGGCGCGGGGGAGCAGCTCCTGGGTCCCGGCTGAGCACCACCCTGCTCCACGGAGTTGTCTCCCTCGTGCCGCCCAGCTCCTTTTATCGTAGCCCGTCTTATTTACTGTTCCGTTGTGTTTTAAAGGCGCTGAGGCCAATGCAGCACTTCAGCCACCGGCTCCCAGCGCTGGGGAGATCCAGGCAGCTGTGGGGCACAGGCTAGAAGGTGTCCCAGCCCTGCAGGGTCCTCCGGATCACGTGGAAGAAAATAAACAGACTTATTTTTGCATGTGTGAGTGCGTGCGTGTGTGTAGATGTGTCACTAATATAAGGTTCCCCAGCCAGAGCAAGGGTCAGGCTCCATGCCCCCGTCTCCATGCTTAGGCACTGGGAAGAGGCAGGCTGCACAGAGGGATGGAGCTTCCCTGCATCCCTGTCCCGTCCTTGCTTTTCCAGGCAGAACTCATCCCTGTGGTGGGGGGAGCAGGAGGAAGAGGCAGAGGCCGGGGGCGAGGAGCTCTGCCCTCAGTTAGTCCCCCAAGCCCTCTTCTCCCTGGACATCAGCTGCTGGGAGCTGCATCCAGTCCCGGGTTGGGATGGTGTACCAGGCCCAGGGCTGTGTCTTGTTGGAAGGGTTCCTTGTCCTCTTCCTCTTCCTCCTCCTCCTCCTTCCGAATGTAGATGGCTGTGGGGCCGTGCTCATCTGTCCCCAGCCTGCTCCTCTGGGCTGGCAAAGGAGGGAGGCAGGCAAGGGGGAGAGCACTTGTCCCTGGCACAAGGAGCTCTGCAGAGAGCTGGGGCTGTGGTGTCCAGGAATGCAGAGCCAGGGATTGGAAAGGGCAGGGGGAGTGATGTCCTTCACAGGGGTGGCAAAGCCCAGGGAGCAGCTGATCCATGGGACCAGCAGGGAAGCAAGCCCAGAGGAGGTGAGAGAGAGAGGGCTGGCACTGTCTCAGAGCTGTGCCGGCCACTGGGAAGCCTCTTTGGGGACAGTGGGAGCCTCTCCAGTGCTGTCCCGTTTGCTCGCAGTCCCATAGCGCAGGCAGATCCCTGGCAGATCCGTGCGTGGCTGTTATGGGTGCATGCAGTGACTGAGGTGTCTGGCTTCCCTCCCCCTCACCCCTCCCTTGCTCCTGCTGCTGCTGGAGCAGGGAACCTTCAGCCTTTAATAGCTTCCAGAATAAACCCCCTCATCCCTCAGAGCCCACCACTGGCGCACACAGCTCTCCACGCGGGCCTGTCGACGTACGTACGCCCGCGCTCCGCTCTGTACAGGTCGAGTAGTTTTTAATTCATTTGTGAATACTCAATGCTATTTTTGTTATCTTGTCTGTCCGTATTTATGTGTGGGGCCATGCTCCCTGAAGAGGCCAAGGTGGGATGGAGGTGGGGGGGGAAGAACCAGACGCTCCAGGGGGGCTCACTTGGCCACTGAGCACAGACTTGCGCTCCCTGTGTAGGATCCGCTCAGATCCCACACGGGGAGCACAAGGACTAACATTAGCCCAAACATTGAACGCTTCGGATTGCAGGTGGAGGTGATCCACTAATAAAGTTGTCATTGGAGCTGCTGGTGGTGCTGTGGTCTTTGCAAACATTGGGAATTTGGGCACCTTTGGACCCAAAGGAGTTGCCTTCAGCGGAATGGATAGATGGGGATGGGGTCCTCTCCGTGCCCAGGGAAGGGTTGGGATGCTGCAAGGAGAGCTTGCTGTGGTCCCGAGGGGATGGGAGGGGGGAGGGATGGTACTAAGGGGTGATGGGGGCAGGAGAGCCCAGGACAGGCTCTTATCTGGGCTGGAGGTGGTGGTTTTGGGGACATGGGCTCAGCACCCGTAGTCATGTTGGGGTGAGGACGGCAGGGGGCTCACAGCCTTACTGGGACCCACAACCCCCCTGCATTCCCGGGGCTGCATGTCAAAAGGAGAAATCTCCTCTCCAGTACCACCCTCCCTTTGTGGGGGGCTCATTCTGGCACAGTTTGAACCCCACGCGGGTAGGACCCCACAAACACTGGGGCTTTTTCGGGGTGTCACAAGCGTGGGGGACACCGAGCCACTCCCATATCCCTCCCACCGCAGGACGCTCCCTGCGCAGCTTAGCCTTCCCCAGACCCTCCTGTCGCTTCCGGAGGACCCCCGGAGCGTGGGGGGCAGCGGCCGGGCCCTGACGGGCTCCATGGCCCGGCGGGATGCGGTGGGAGCCCACGGACACGAGCACCATCCCGTGGGCAGCGGGAGAAGCTGCGCGGAGCTGCAGCCGCAGCGGATGCGGCGGGCGGGGGCAGAGGGGACCTCCATGGCCAAACACAGCCGCTAGGATTAGGGGGAACCCCGGTCCCCGAGGGCCACCAGCCCCCTTCCCAGTTACCATGAGCCCCCCGTAGAGGATGGGACCCCCACCCCGGCACGGCCGGAGCCCTACACAGCCACGGACAAGGCAATGCCCATCCCGGAGCTGGGAATGGGACCTGGGGGACATGGCTGACGAGGCTCCCCAAGACACCCCACAGCACACTGGGCTGAGCCATGCTCCCAGTTTTAATCCCTGCCAAGGAGGGGGGGTGTCTTTGGGTCCCACGGGCAGGCGGCTCTGCCAGCCACAGGGTCCCAACGGCGCCGGGATGGTGACAGGGACGCGGCTGGAGGGTTCCAATGAGGCAGGCGGTCTCATGGCTCATATTGCAGGTCCGTGGCGATGAGCACGAAGTCCTGCAGGGAGTCAGGGTGAGAGAGGGGACATGGGGGACACAGGGGACACCGGAAAGAGGGGACAGTGGTGGCACTCACCTCTTGCAGCGAAACTCGGGGCCTGAGCAGGCTGAGGCCATGTGGGAGAGGCAGAGGGATGCCAGCCTGGAGCCACTCTGTGGGGAGACAGAGGCATAAGGGGAGGTGGCCCTGGTGAAGTTGGGGGAAGTGGGGTGGGGGCGGGATGGTAACAGCACTCACTGTTTGCTCGGGGCACCCCAAAAAGCCACAGCCCAAACTTCAGCAGAGTCTCCAGGCGCTTCACCTGCAGGACAGGCAGAGGGGTCCATGGTGCAGGCAGGGCTCAGCCCCCTGCCAGGCTTGCCTTGCACAGGGTCCACTGCACCCCCCAGACCCCTCAGACCCTGCTCCCAAGGTGATGTGGAATCCAAGGCTCCCCTTGGCTTCCCTGGCACAGCCACTCACCTCCACAGGGCCCACGTTTGATGCCACCTGTGTCACGCTGAGTCTGAAGGAAAAGATCAGGGTCAGAGCCAGGCACAGGGATAGGAACTGTCCCTTCCCAGGGTAGGGAGAGGCTGAGCTCCATGGTGGGACTGGGAGCCCAGCAGAGTGGGTTCAGGTGAGGACCTAGTGCCAGCATAGCTGGCATGGGTGAGAGCCAGGGGTAGAATGGAGTCTGAGCAGGCAATACGGGACTCAGGGAGGCAAATGGCCAGAGGTGGGGAATGGGGAGCTCCCCAGCTACGTCCCAGGGGAGTCCAGACCCAGCTCAGGATCAGACACTCACCCTGTCAGTCTCACAGTCCCCCCAAGCCTGTTCCTGGTGATGGTTGGCTTTCCTGTCACGTTGGCATCCTGTGGCAAGAAGAGGTGTTGGAGAGACCATGGCAGTGTCTGCAACCCATCATCACCCAATATCCCTCCAGTATCACCCAGCATGGCCCCCGCCAGGAGCACGGGCAGGCCAGCCCCAGCCCAGCCCTTTGGAGTCCCCTGGCTCCCCGAGCCGTGGCAGCAGCAGCCACTCACGATGTTCAGCAGGAAGACAGGGACACGGGTGGTGTTGGGCAGCACCACAAAGGCCTCGGCGGAGCTGAAGAGGGTCCCGTGCAGGGCGTCAGGGTGGCAGGAGAGCAGGGGCTGCCGGCGGGCCCAGAGGTGCAGCTCCATGGGCTGGTCCCCGTAGTGTTCCTGCAGCTGGAGGGGACAGGGCTGGGATGGCACAGTGCCACACTGGCACTGCCACCACCACAGGCCCCAACCCAAGCTCCACCATTGAACTGGCCTGGGCGGGGTGTGGGCAGGGTGGGCAATGTGTCCTGCCCCTCACATGTCCATGTCCTGTCCTGTCTGTGTCCCATTCTGTCTGCATCTCATCCTGCCTGCATCCCATCCCATGTCCCATCTCCCCTGCACCCTGTGTCCCTGTGTCTCATGCTGCCCACGTGCCATCCCATCTCCCACCTCCCCTGCACCCCAACCCCTGTCCTGTCCCTCCCACATCCCTTCCCACCTGTGTCCCATCCTCCTGTATCCCGTCACATGTTCCGTTCCTCCTGCAATCCCATCCTACCTGTGTCCCATCCCATGTCCCATCCACCCTGCATCCTGTCCCACCTGTGTCCCCTTCTCCCTGTGTCCTGTCCCACTCACCTGTGGGGAGAAGACCCCCATGCTCTTGGTCCTCAGCTGGAATGGGAACCTCTGTGGGAGCTGGAAGGCAGGGAAGGGTCAGGGTACTGGGGTCGAGGCACAGGTGGGCGCGGGGACACCCCAGAGGGGACAGCTCTGCCCTCCAGATGTCCCTACCATGTCACTGGAGATGTTCCTGCGCAGGGCCCCAGCCGTGAAGTACGTGAAGGCGGCTGAGTTGGCAACAAACTCGGTGACAGCCATCAGCAGCATGGGCTCACGTGCCACGGGCAGTGCCTTGGGCGTCAGTGTGGGCAGTGCCAAGGGCAGTGCCACGGGCAGAGACATGGGCAGTGCCACGGGCAGTGCTGAGCGTCTCTGCTGGTACATGCCCACCCTGAAGATCTCCCCCTGTGCAGACAGACAGATTGATGTGAGGCTCAGCCAGGCTCCCCCCTTCCCTGTTCCCAAATCTGCCCCAGGGATGCCCAGGGTGGTATTACCTTGAGGACAATGTCCCCATGCTCCGCTGTGAAGGCCGGCGGTCCCAGCAGGGAGTAGTCGATGGCAGCAAAGGCATCCAGCTGGGTGGACACTGCAGGGATGGGGAGGAGTTGGGGGGAGTGGGACCACCAGCCCCCTCCCACAGCCCCAGCACCGTCAGCACAGGGGTTGACAGGATCTAGTCCCACAGTGGGGCTGCCCATGGCCCTGGGACCACCCTGCCCATCCCTGGTCCTGGGGTCCTCTCACCCACCTTTCATGTGCTTCAGGGCAGCATCCAGCTTGTCAATGCCCCTCTGGAGCTCAAGGCAGAGCTGGAAGCAGAGCAGGGCATCAGCAAGCCCAGGAATGGGGGTGCCCAAGCCTCTTGCTGGGCTGAGGGGGGACAGGGACACCGACACCCCATGGCACAGGGGCTGAGCACCCACCTGCTTGTTTAGCTGCTGCCGGAGGGTTCTCTGGAGCAGCGGTGCCAGCAGGTTGTAGATCCAGCTGTGGGGCAGAGTGGGGTGATCAGGTCACCCACCGACACTCCCCCAGCTCACCACCCTGGCTGGGGCATCGGGAGTCCCCACGTTCCAGGAACAGGACTGAGTGGGGGTCTTGGCATCACCTGTATCCACGGTGAAACTCCATGTGTAGGTCGGTGCCGTGGGTGTCACATCCAGCACTCCACACCGTGGGGCGGCCGCCGCCGTCCTCGCTCACCCCCAGCACCGCTGCCACGGCCAGGTCCTGCATGCGGAGCTCCACAGAGCCACTGTCCTGGCTGGGGACAGAGCAGGTGAGCACAGCAGTGACATCAAGCCACCCTGAGCCAGCCAGGTTCCCGTCCCTGTCCCCACGAGGACTCACATGGCGCCCAGCTGGGCGGCCCAGTCGGCGCTGAGCTGGATTTGGGCACGTTGCACCATCAGCCTCACCCCCACGTCCTCGGCAAAGTCCAGTGTGGAGTCGTTCATCTGCAGCTCATGGATGTGGATCCTGCATGACACGGGAACACTGGGCTGATGGCTGTGTCCGGGACAGGGGTGGGGACAGGGACGGGGACAGGGACTCCAGGGGCAGCTCTTACCGTGGCACAGCGTAGGTGAGGTTCCCCAGGAGTGGGATGTTGTAGGATCCTGTCAGGTTCAGTTCATGCTCCTTCTGCAGCGTTGACTGGAACAGCTCCAGCCCAAAGCGGCGGCCTGGGGCAAAGTGGGAATTTATGGTGACACCAAGGAAGGGGCTGGGGTCCCCAGGGTGCCAGGAGGGCAAGAAGACAGGTCCAGGGTGGCTCCTACATCCCTCATCCCTGTCAGGCTTGGTATCATTCCTGGAGGTGCCCACTGGTCCCCTCCATCCCCCATCCTTACTGGTCCGGGCATCACCTCCCACTGGCCTCCCCCACCCCTGCCCAGTCAGGGGCACAGACCCACCAAACTCCAGCGAACTTCGGGTCAGCCAGGCCTTGATGCCAGGGTTGGTGACGGTGGCAGGGACACAGACAGGCAGCAGGAGCAGGAGGCAGAGCCACGCGACACCTCGAGGACGGTGCTGGCACCTGAAGGCTGGAGCGGAGGACATGGCTCGGGGACACGCAGCTGGTGCAGAGACCCTCTCCCTCTGCACCAGCAAAGCCAAGACTTATATCGGGGACAGGGAGTCCCAGGTGACATCAGCACATGTGGGGACACCACAGCACTCCGGCTACTGAAAGCCCAGGCTTGCCCA